AGCCACAGATCACTGGGGTAAGCACACCAAACATGCGGGACACAGCTCATTTTAGAAGAGCATTTGAACAAAGCAGTACCTGCAGAGAATGATTACAAAGGGAAAGCTGCCTTGAATCCCAAGCACTGAGAATGCTGTCTTGAGGCCCAGTCCCCGGGGAAGAGGCTGGATACAAGTAAATACAATGGAGACGGAGAGGGAGATGATGGGGATGGTGATAGTGTCTTGCCCTGGCTAGTGTATGGTTTAATTTGGTCTTGAGGTTTTGGATTTTTTTTCCTCTAAGAGTGTGTGGCTGGCAGCGAGGGTCCAGCTCTCTACCCCAGCTTGCCACAAAAAGCCTTTGTATTTCTGAGCATTTTCAGTGTGTCGTTAGAAAAAGCTTGCACTGTATTCAAGTCTTTTCTGAGCCCCAAAAAGGGAATGTGGAGGATATATTGTGGCATCTCTCCCACAAGCTCATCAGACCCCACCCTATGATACCCGGCCATGAGATGTTGCGGCTTGAGGTGATGCACAAGGTGGCACTGGCTTCCATTCTGCACACAAAAAATGCAGCAGTGTAGCCACACATGTTGGTCCATAGGTCCTCTTCAGGACAATTCCCACAACCACTCTAAGAAGGAGGGACCACCCTTGCAAACAGCTGTCAACAAACCAGTTCAAGGAACATATCAACAAACCAGTTCAAGGAACTTTCTAGGTCTTATTTGGCCATTCAAGACTAAGCCACGCTAGATGCTTTACATTACAACAAAGGACAATACATCATTGCTGGGAAAGTTCAGTTTGCTCCATCCACTGTGAGGCCTGCAGCTAAGCTTGGAGGGGACAGGGAGTTCTGAGAGGAGAGGTAGAAGAAAGCATCAGTACTAATAAAAAAGTGTAGGCACTGCTTCCCTGCAAGCCTTGGTTCCATTACACCACTAAAGGCCCAACCAGACTTCTTTCTTCAGCAGTGGGAATGGGACACCATTGTTCACCCCAGCAGAAGAGAGCAGGCTGGCTGGTTCAAGAGGCAGAGTCCAGGCAGCCCAGCACACGGCTCTCTCTCCAATGGCCTGCCACCGCTTCCTAGTATCCGCCAGTTGAGGCAACTGTCCACTCTACCAAATGACAGAGATGGTTCTGCTCTCCCTGCTTGGCTACCTCTTACACAACCTGTACCTGAAATGAGCAGGACAAGCTCCAGAAATCTGAGCTTTGGAGTCAGTTCTAGCTGCTTGACGGCCCAATTTTGAAATCCAGGGTTGGTTTTAATTCTAAGAAGTTCTGTTAGTGCAGGGTGGGGAGGGGGGCAAACTGTACTGCAGCATATGCATCTCACAAGACCCCCTTGAGATGATAGCCAAAGAGAGCAGCAAACTTCCAGTGTAGTTTCATTATCATCAATGGAATTGTTCCAGATTAACAGCCTTTTTCATATGCTGTAAACCTGTCTTGGGAATTTCACTGAAACACCAAACATTCCAAAATGATCAGTGCTTACTTGAAAACACTTCCACACTTTCCTGAAAGTCCAATTAGAAAGCCATAATGTTTAACTGTAAATTACCTGCCTCCCGCACAAAGATAGATGCAGTCCATAAAAGAGCGATAAACCAATAGATTGCTTTGAAGAAGCATTGCTCCTGAGCACAGACATGTTGTTCTAGCATTTCACTGCCCTTCCCCCTCCACGGCACAACAAACAGGATCCAGTGCTTTGTTTTTCTTAATGTGCAAATGCAGAGAAATCTGAAAGTAAGCAAATTGCACTTTCTTCTTAAAACTGCAGCTTGCCATATAGGCAGCTCTTCCCTCAGCAAAACCCAAAGCCAAGTGCAACTAACCATTATTGCAAGTCAGCCAGTCTAACTGCAGAAGCATATTCTGGGACAACCGCTCATTTAGCGGCCAATACACAGCCTTCCATGTGCTCCGGTGCAGCCAATCCCAAAAAGCGTTCTTGATGTCTGTCTGTCTTCCACCAGTGACCTTCCATTTTTTAAGAGACTCACTAGAAACCTGACTGACATATTGTCTTTCTTTCAGGATTCCCACCTTCTTGTGCAAGGTGCTGCGTCACATTGATGACATATAACAGCCTTCTCTAGACCAGCAGCAAAGTAATGCAACTTCCCATCCAGGGTTGGAAATTAAGATTTTCAATGGGATAGACATTTTTGGAAAAAAAAAGACAAAACCCTTTACGCAAGTGTTCATTTATCAGTCCTGGGCAGCATCCTTGTTTTGTCTGGCTCTGTTTTTCCCCCCTAGCAGGCGATTCCCCCTAGTCAGGGACCACTGAGTCAATGGCACGGTGTCATGGCGCAGACAGCCAATCAGAGTAGGACATGCAGTAACATCAGTGAATCCAGCGGAAGGGAATTTAGAACACGGGCAAGTAGAGACATGAAGCAATCATGCTGCATTTTTTCACGCCTCAGACTGGTTTTCTGAATACATTTTTCTGAAAAACTACAGAAATGGAGAAGAATTGATTTGCACTGCCGAAAATGTTCCTGAGACAAGTGAGATGCTTGGCTCAGCCCCAGATTTATGTTTTTTTTTTTAAATCTCTTACAACACTGTTTTAACTGACTGTTTTAGATATTTATATTTATTTATCTCTGGGTGGCATAATGGCCACACAGAGAAAAGGAAAGGGACAAGACAGGGTGACAGTGCCCCTTTAGTGGCAGTGATGGCTGACACTAAACAAAGGCAGGAGCATTTTTAAAATGCTGTAAGCCTTACCGAAGCTCACAGGAAGGTTCAAGACATACATGGAAATGAATAAGACAAATGTTGTTTCATTTGCTGAGAGATTTCCCACTGCAAAAGTGCATGGAAAACTATATGCCATAATCCACACAAGATATTGGAACGCGCAGAAAAAGACTGAATTCACATTCTACACTGTCTATATATGTCATCTCAGAAGTAAGCCCCACTGAGTTTATTTTATATATTTAATGGCGTTCAATGGAGTTTACTCCCAGGAAAGTAATAGTGATGCAGGCTTGCTCACTCAGTCCAAGCACAGGAAGCTACCTTACATGAAATCAGGATCTGCAGAAAATGCACGGTTGCAACGCCTCCGTGGCACTTGGGAGGGGCAGCTTTAGTCTGGTTTTCTGGTCCTATTTTCTGGCAAACTGTGGAAGCCCCCGGCTTCTGTGTAAAGCATTCATTGTGCCTTCAGACATGTCAGTGAGAGAGTCGAATACAGGCATCCCTTACAAAGAGCATTTTGCAGGCTAGAACGAGCCTGCAGGGGCCCTGCAAACAGAACTGCAGTCACTGAATGGCAGGAGAGGTCGTTGCTGAGCCCAGCAGAAATGTGCCTTCGCTACACAAACACGGGGGCTCAGAGGCGACACCCTGCACAGCACGGACGCCCCCCAGTAGATTGCAGAGGCTAAATGTGCTTGCTGGCAGAAAAGCGTTGCAGAGGTGAAGGGCAGGGCTCTGCATTAAGGATTTGCTGCACTCTCTCTCACATACACGCTTTCCTCTGCGGAATGAATGGAAATGCAGGTGGCAGAAAGCTCAGCTTCGGTTCCTGGTGGGATACAGTGGGCAGTGTTGGTTAAGAACATTCAACATAGTTCAGTTGGAGCTTGTGCTCCCTTCCTGGTTGGCATTTTATTTTCAATTCCTCCTTATGGGATCTCTCACTTTCTAACAAACTGATGGGCCCATTTCCTGTTGTCCTGATGTTGTCTGGGCGGCCATATGATGAATAGGAGACTCAGCTCCAGCGGCTTTGGAGCAGGGACCCTGGGCACTGAGTCCCCGAGTTCCTTCTTCCTTCATGCTGGCTGCCTCTTCAAGGACGCAGCAGGGCCTTGAGGAGGTGGGAAGGGATGAGCCCTCGGGAAGCTCACAATGCTTGCTGGAACCAGCAGCTTATTTTAATTCCCATCAATGTCTCAGCCCCCCTTCCTTTTCTTTTTGTGGCACAAAATCTAGATAATGGATATCTAGATACAACCCACAACATGAATTACCCATGGGTACCCGTACGATCCTCATGGCCAGTTCAAATCCCATTGATGTAAGTTTCACCTTTTAGAAAGAAAGAGAAAGATGGGGGGCAGGGGAGAGGGGGAGAGGGAGGGAGGAGAAATAGAGAAAGATTGACAGAAATAATGAAGAAGAGAGGAGAAGTGGTAAAGCTAAAAGTAATACAACATTTAAAAACTGGGCCCTGTCTTCAGCTTGATTGTAAAGTTGTAGCTCTTGGTGTGGGAAAATTGAGAACCACTGAGCTCACATCTACAGCAAGTATAGGCAAACTGCTGCCATTCAGATGTTTTGACTACCAGTCCCATCAGCCCCAACTTCATGTTCAGTGGAACTTAAGGATCTTAGAGGGCACAAAGTTGCCTGGCCCGATCCAAAGAATAAGTTGGATGAAAGGAAAAGTCAGAGGAAAGAGTCTCAGATCCTACCGGTGCCTCTTTCCCTCTATTTCCAAACACAACTGAAAATGCACACAAAGCACTTATTCGTAGGGCAACACGACTGAGAAAGGAGCTGAACGTAGAGTTTCTGATTTTGAGTGAACTTAGAGTTTCTAAATCCTTGCCCTGAAAATGGCCGTAGGCCTTGAACATGTGGGTGGAGGAGCACACTCTTGGGAACAAGCCTGGCTCTCATGGAGTCCCTCTCGGTCCCCCACGGTTCCCCAGCAGGCCACGCCCCTCCCCTGGCCCCACCCCTTTCCCCCAACCATGGATTGGCGGCTTCTCCACATTCTAAAAGGTTGAAATGCCTCTCTGAAGTTTTAGTTCCTAGCAATAAGAACTCCAAGCCAAGGAGGTTTTTTTCCCCTGGGGTATATGGTATTTTTACCCCCCTTCTGCATTCAGCCCCACCCACTGTTAGAATTTCAGCTTCTCTGAATTTAGTCCGATACGCAGGCTGGAAGAGGTCCCCCATCCCTGTTTTAACACAAGGTTCCCTAAGCCCTGGGAGATGGCACTGCAAAGCACCCAGAACTGCAACCTTACCTGTCAAACAATGGCTTCTCTCCACAGTCAAAGGCATCCTGCAATTCTTTGACAAGGTTAGCCTGGCCCGGCAGTCGGAAAAGCCCTTCCTCCTTCAGCCCACGCAGCCGAATAAAATCGACACACTGTTCCACCAACATGGGAGCCAAATGGTTTCCGTATCTTTTCTCGTACCGGACTGTGTCTTCCAGCTTCTGGCCAAAAATACCTGTGTGACAATATAAGGATTTAAGATGAATTCAAGGTGATTATAGTGATTCTTTAGCTATGCAGATGTATAAGTAACAGATAAATGAGGGCAAAGCGAGCAGCAGATTGTGACTTGTTTTCAGTCCCCCTGATCCCAGTGGGAACTACCTTTTAATTCACAGAGTAATCCTAGAGATTATCTAGCCAGAAATAAGTCCCATAATGTTGACTGGGAACCATTCCTAGCGAAATGTGTATAGGGTTTGCCATCTAAGCACTTCACTACATGAGCTACTCAACCTGATGCCTCATCAAGGCTTCTTCTTCCATTTTTTATGTGAGAGGAAGAGCGGATCCTTACAGTTGGGTTTTTCTTTCTCTGTGTCTTCCTATGTTTCAGTTCACAACCACGAGGCAGTGCTGGGGTGAATCACAGATGATAAAACACACGGGCTTGATTTGGCACGACAGGTAAAAGATATCCAGAATCTGGCTTCCACAATAGGAAGAGAACTTCCTTGGCCTCCCTCTACTCCAAGTTCACTGTACTCCAAGTTCACTGTGGAGCCCCTCCTTCCCCCCACAGCTTGTCCTTGGGGCAGAATCTCCTGCATCTCTGTAGTCTTTCCAGGGGTCTGGGGTGGATGCCATGGGAAGGAGAGGGCGAGAAAGCTTGCTTCTGCCAGTGCAGTATTTTAATTTTATTTTACTATTTGTTAGCCAGTCTGAGAGGCTGTGTTGAGAAGCATTGTATCAAAGCCAAAATAATAAAAAAAAAAACGGAATTTCAAGAGCCAAATTCCATGGACTTTGGATTTGACACTGAAAGTTGCCTTTTGGATAATTTGGCATATTTTGTTGGGTGGGAGGGGAAAAGCCAATGGAGTTGCACAGCTTCTGAAATTTGCAGTCCATGCAAATCTCTGAAGGATTATTCTTGAGCAAAGCGTTCACAAGGGTTTCTAAACAAGTCCACAAAAATTCAAGCCTTTTCCATAAAAGTGAAGGGCTTGGTCATTTTTAGAGCATCTCCCAACACATTTTCATCTCTGCCAAGCATTAAGATTCAAGTGTGTGTGTGCTTAGCCTAAAAAATCTAAGACATACAAACAGGGAATGTACTGCCGGGGGGGTTATCTCCTATGTTAAACTCAGCTAAACATTCATTTGTCCACAATTCTGCTCATACTTTAGGGAATGGTGCCCTTTTCCTCCCCACCGTGTTTCTGTTAGCGGCTGAATTTGCTTCTGTTGTTTTGTACCTACATTTTCTTCCTTTTATCTGTTTGGCAAAGGCTCAAGGACAAATCGGCTCCTGTTTTAAAAGGCACACCTGTTCCTTTATTTACCCCCTTTCCAATAATCTTAATCACTATGACAACAGAAGTCAAGAGGACCTATTCAGGCAGAACAGTTTTGCTTGGTTAAGTGCCGTACCATGTGACCACTCCCCACCACGATCCCTCGGGACCATCACATGCCGCCTCCGTCCAATAACTTGAATAGCTCCATTGTTTTCGCAGATATTCCAAGTGGTGGCTGAACAGAGGCAAAGTGCTGGGAATGGCCGTAAGAGTGATCCAGAACGAGGTGCTTTGCTTCTGAACTGCACACACAGAGACTCTTGTCATATCCAGAAGAACACTCCCTGCCCTGGCCAAGCACTGTGGCATCTGGGCTGACAGCGATCATGCATGGGCACGTGTGCATCGCTAAACACAGGGTCAAAAGAGGATGCAGGTTTGCACAGGCAAATCGATGCAGAGGGATCTAAATTCAGAATTCCTCTATTGTCTTCATCTTTGGTCCTCCCCCCCCCCCCCCACCCCTCACTGGCCACCTTAACTGGATAATGAAAATAGCTGCAAATCTCAAAGGCCCACTGCACACCGGTGCCTTGCCTCAACCTGCAGAGCAAGATGAGGCCTGAGTAAGCAGGATTAACTGAAATAGCTTTCAGCTTAACCTGGATGCTAGCATGTCTTCATGCTGCTGATGAAAGCTGCTTGCTGGGGTATTTACTACATGGAAAAACTTGAAGGCCAAGGACTTGGGTTGCAAAAAGCCTCTCTGGGCATGTGGAAGGGTGTCTCTTCCTCCTGCCATCCTTAACACCATAAACTTTCAGAATCTGACCTTCTTTCTCACAGAAGGTAACAGACGTGTTTTCTGTTGCCGCAGGTGGCAGGACTAGAACCGAGGGGTGGAAATTGCAGGCAAGCAGGTTTTCCCTAAACATTAGGAGAAACATTCCAACAGTAAGTCACAGGCTGTTTGACAGGAGAATGGTCTAGTTTGGGATGGCAGTGGACTCCCCTTTGATGGAGGTACTCCATGAGCTTGTCAGGGATGCTGTAACTGCATCCTGTACTGTGGCTCTTCCATCAAGTAAGGGGCTGGATTTTGAAGATCCCTTCAGCATCTACGACTGGATGAAGCTTAAAACTTGCAAGGCACACCATGCTGCATTTTAAGTGCCTTGGAAACTGGATTGTGAAAAACACAATGGCTTGTGATGCGGTGATGGAAGCCTGCTATATGCCTATAACCACTTGCAGGCTTTTCTGAACAGTACGGCCTTGGGATGAAAAGAATAGGAGATCAGTTTGCATGTGGAACAGATGAGTAATGAGCTGTTGTCTTTTCATAGCTGATGGGGTAAGCACCACACACTAGCTGTTTTCTAGGCCATGGCCATTTCGTTTTTTAATGAGAAAATGTTTAGCCTGACTGTTCTGTCAAAAAGGCAATGGCTGCTGGAACAACTCATGAAGAACATTTAAGGGGAAAAAAAGATGGAATTAAAACTGAGTGGAAGATGGATGGATTTCTCTCGTACCCTATTTTTTGGTTAGCAGGCACCATGATATATGTTTCTTGTGGTTGTCTGAAGGGAATCCATGACAATAGATGCCCTCTTAGGACTTTTCGAGAGGACAAAACACACCTTTCAAAAAATCAAAGGCAGGTTGTTTTCCGAAACCCAAATACTTTGTAAAATGCAATGTTTTGAGCATATTTTGTTCCTGTTCACATCCATGATTGAAAGTATCCTGCAGAAATGAAGTTTTTTCTTAGATTTCAAGGAACAGAATTGCTAGAAAATAATTCACCAGATTTAAGGCCACTATGGCTGCAACCTTATACATTCTTACTTGGGAGTAAGTTCCACTGGACATAATGGTACTTTTGAGTTGACACACACTGTTAAAAGACCGAACTGGTAGAGCCATTTGATTAATGAGGAAACAGTGAATAGTTATTTATTAACTGGAACAGTTCCCACTGTAGAGGTTATACAAACATGTGTAAGTTTTTTGTACATCTGCATTTCCATTGAAGTCCAGATCTAACCCTGACTGAGCTGCCTGCAAAGCTTGTGGGAAATTCTATACATTCAACCCCTCTGTCTGGGGAAAGGTTTCAGTGGGCTGTAATTACATTTCCAGTTATAATCCACAGGACAAATTCCTGAACAAGTGCCTTCATTTGGTACTGCCAGTCAGGTAATTATTTTGAAAGCTATGGGAGGATATGGAAAAGCAACAACAACTGCTAGTCAGCTATTTTTGTATGTTCAAGGCACACGAATTTCAGCTCTGCTTTCTAGTTTGATAAGCTCCATTGGACTCATCCCTTAACATGGATTAGTTCGCCTCTCACCATACTTTGACCAATCTTTTGGAATGCCTCCCACCTCATGGAAGCCCTCTCCTCTGGGTTCTCAATAGCTAATTCACTGGCCATTGCCAGAACCACAAGCATTTCCATTCTGGGCCCCATGCCCTCACAAAGGGAAAAGAAAGCGAAGCAAAACAAACAGAGGTTGGAGCTTCAAGTTGGAAGAGGGAGCTTCCAGTTGTGGGAGCATCAGCTTCAGTTTGCTTGTTTTTCTTTTGTGAAGGGATAGAATGAGTTCAGCCCGAGAAACAAGGGTTCTAGGCCTCGGAAATTATTGCAGTCCTGGCAGTGACCCGTGAACTCTCATCAGCCCTTGAGAACTCAAGATGCGGCTGGTGACTTCAGCCCCTCTCCAAGAATAGCCTCAAGGGTGAGAGTGGCTCAGCATGTACAGTATATAAAACTTGCATGCAGAGGGGAAGGCAAGGCCCTAAAGACCACATAGCATGAAGTGCCTTGTCTGCAGTTCAGTTCATTGGTGCACAGGAGATTGATGACTACCATAGAAATGTCCTTGTCTCACGGTGTGGAACTCTTATCCCTTTGAGGTGCCTCATCAGTCCTTGGCTCCATCACCGTGCACAGCGTGAGCTTGCAAAATGCACTGCTTTTCTTATACAAGGAACTCAGGGCACTGAGCAGGAGCAAAAACGGTACGCAACAGAATAATGTCTGCTGTGTAATTTTTATATGGATGAAAGCATCACACAGCGCCGTCCTCGCTTCCTAATCTGCTGGTTTGAGGGGATTAGGGTGGGTGACAGGGTCCTTTGCATGGCAGAGAGGAACTGTGCTGTTGGTGGACATGTTCTGATTACCAGAAGATCCGAGGACAGCCTTCAATCTATTGGATCTGGATGCCACTTGACAGAAAGGACCCAGGATCAGCCCTGCTTTCTGCTAACCTCGAGCTCAGATACTAATTTCCCCCTCTATTGGAATCGATTGGATGTGAGGAATTAAGAAAACAAAGAATCCTGCAGTTCCCAAAGACATCTTCCACACTGGCAAGCACCAGCTGGCAAAGCTTTGGATGCTTTGCCATTTCAATTTTTTCCCATTTATTTTTCCTGTGAGTGCTGCCTTCTCAAGAAAGTCTTCACAGTGGTACATGGCGTTCATGGCTAAGATCATGTTATAGAGAAGAAAGAGCTGCAGGCAATTTCTGAAGCCTTGTTAAGGGGGAACTGCCAGCTTAATTTTGTCTTAGGGCTCAGTCCTACAACTGGGAACTGTAGGATGTTTCTCTGTCTAAACATGAATATGATCATACTCTTAATCTTGTTTAAATTTCAAAAAATGGAGAACGAATTCTTAGTGGGCTGTTTAGCATGTTTT